ACCAAGGCGTTCTAAACTCAAGCAAGAGAAAATAACAAGCGATTAATTATGCTGCTGAAGTTCTCCTGCTCAGCCAATGTGTGCATTTTAGTGTGTGTGTGTTTGTTGTGTGTGCATATAGGTGTGTTTGTAAGAGTGTATTCATGTGTGCGTGTGTGTGTGTATTAGCAGGAGTGTGCCGCGATTGTCTCGATGATTAATGGCGGCGTCTGGGATGGCGAGTTATCTGCGGCTCTCCACCTGCTCGGACAGACAGCGGGACGGGACCGGAGGAAGGGGATAATTGGGGAGAGAGAGAAGTGGAGCAGACAATGGAGCCAAAGGAAGGAGAGAAGAAAGAAAGGAAGAAAGGGTTTTGTCACGCTGTTGTATGGTGGGTGTGATGGTGCCGAGTTACACAAATGGACAGTAACAAGTGCTGACCGCCGCCAAAGCAACGAAAGATCATCTCAAGGAACCATAGTGTACATCTACTCATTCATGGTCTCTGTTTTTCATTTTCTTTGGTATTTCATCCTTTAAAACGCCAATGAATGCCTCTCTTTAGAAAAAAGTAGTTGTTTGGATAATGAAAGATGATGAATTTTTATCAATTTGACCAAAACAAAGCTCAAGTCATGTCCCAGGAGAACATGGAGATTTCTGTTTGATGAAAGATACCTTACTCTGCAGTCATTATAGAATAACCAGAGTCATAAAACCCTTTCCCAGCATGTTAAAGTCTGTGTAAGGTTACAAATAAAGAACTGATCAGACCTACAGCAGTTACAGGTCATCAGCAGTGGGAAAAACAACCACCAATGCAAGAAATCCCAACTACGCAGACGACACTCAGATCTATGTCTCACTGGCTGCAGGAGGACATGGACCAGTGGACTCACTCCGTCACTGTATTTCTTTGCTTTGGCTTTTTAACACAAGCAATATTGAAACATTTATGATTGTGTCCTGCATTTTATTTTTATGCAATGTCTTATTTGTGTGTTGCATTTTGTAATGTCTGGTAAGCACTTTGACAGTCCTGTCTGTTTTTTAAAATGTGCTATATAAATAAACTTCCCCTTGACTGTATCCAACAGATTAATTAATGAATGCAAAATAACTTTCTTCAGCTAAAAGCAAAACTTAAATGATAGTCTTTGGTCCAAACAAAGAGAGAGAGTTATCATATTTCTCCCCCGAAAACCTTCAAATCAGTCAGAAATGTAGGAGTGATAATAGACAAACACTTAAACAGCCACATCAAATAAGTAACATCAGCAGCTTTTGACCATCTGAAGAGCCTTAAGCATTTGTCTGCAGTAGGTTGGACTGCTGTAATGGCCTGCTGCCGGTCGAGTCCAGACTGGAACCAGGAAGATCACATTAGTCCAGTCCTCAGGTCTCTGCACTGGCTTCCTGTGGCTCAGAGAATAGACTTTAAAGCAGCTCTGCTTGTGTAAAAGTCTCTCCATGGCCTCGCAAAAAAAATCCTCTGTGACATGTTAGTGCATATGAACCAACTCGGAGCCTCCTGCTGGTGCCAAGAGTCAGATTCATGCAGTTAAAATCTGGAAGTCTACCTGAAAAGGTGAGACAGGCTTCGCCTCTTCTATGATTTAACGCCATGTGTGATTTTGTTTTGTTTTGTGTATAAATAAACAATAAACAGGCTGTTAATTAATACATTTTGAGACAAATTGTCATGATTTCAGGTCAAAGATGTCTCAAAAGCAGGACAAAAAAACATTGCAATATGTGATAAATCAAACTCCAAAATAAAACATTCCAGGATATACCAGAAACCCTAAATCCAAACTATGGAATCAGAGGAGAAAGACTGGGCCGATAAAACGAGGAGAGCAGGGTTTCAACACTTTAGGGTGGGATAGACAATCAACTGAAGAGACAGGATGTAAAAGTAAAAAAAGAGACAAGAGAATCAATATATAAAAATTAAATTAGGTCAAAAATAATCATCAATAAGTCCTTACCATAACACAAATATCCTCTTTTTTTATTTGGAGATTACACATTTGTTTAAAAAGGCAGAGAAGACAGATTCTACAGTGTTTTGCATGGAGTAGGGGACAAGTTTGTGCTTTAATCTGGGGTATTTATCTTTCAAACCTCATAACCATGTATTAAATCCATGTAACTCATTCCCACTCTCACGCAAATTTGGTTCAATCACTCGTATTCACATGCTTATATCTATGGCCTCTGTCACATCTTTGGAAAGTGAAAATAAAAGTAGTTGTTTTGGATTGTTGAGAAGCAGCAAGAATTATTTCGCCTTTTCTGTAGTTTCCAACGCAAAAGGTTAATCTGCTTTTAGATCTCTTTAAATGTTCACAAGTGGAGATATGAAAGGAAAATAGGATTGGAACTGGCATTTGCAGTTCCCTCATACACCCACACAACACAGAAATGTACCACAGAAACAACAATATCCACAGAAATCAGTGGATATTGTCTTCTCCCGAGCAAAAGAAAAATGGTAATGCAAGCTCTCTACTGTTAAGGTGGTGTTGAATCCAGTTGAGACAGAAATAGACAGAAATAGTAAGTGAAAACAGTCACAGGGGACGGGGTCTTCCTGTGGTCCAACTGGAGCAGGACTGGAATAGGGCTAGTTGTTGGAGATGGTCTGAGCGGAGGCCTGCGGAGTGGCGCATACACAGGCGCATACTGCCATCCAGAGGTCAGGCCTGGTATTACAGTAATGTCAATATGAAAAATATTAAAGCTGCCACGTGCATGTATGATTAGAGATGGGGAAAGAACTCTGAACATGTATCTAAAGACAGTGAGGGGCACGTTACTATAAAGATGTAATATATTTATAGTTATTGGGAGAAAAGTGTGTTACAATAGTGAGATGAGATATTGATCTCACAATGGAGAAATGAAAGTATATTACACTACTACTACTACTACTACTGATTTTGGTCCAGAACATGAAATATGAATTACGTCATAGTGATTGTGTAAAGTTGTGTAAAGTTGTTTTCAAACCTTTCTATTGTTTCAGGAAACAGAAATATAGTTTTAGTTATATTATCTAATGATCATACAAAGTATGCATGTAACTAACAAATAAACACCTATCTTCAATTTTGTAAAGAAGTGCAATACTGACTTACTTCTAAAAGGAATAGATTACTGTAATATATTACACAAATAAACAGAGGTGAGTGTCGTCACAGCAACGTGTCAATTAAAGTATCTGGACTTTAAAAGGTTATAAATCAAAAACTAAAATTACTATCATAAATTGGAAAAACCATTTCAAACACAGACACATCAAAGAGATAGTGTGGAGGAAATCAAAAGGAAAGATTGACAAAAATATTTTTGCCAACATTTTAAACGTCCAAATCAGCCTCTGATTTGACCATTCCACTGTGACGAAAGTTACATCGAGAATAAAATGTCCTCAGTCTGAAAAAGCGGCAGATGAAATCCCACAAGATTAACATGGTTAACACAACATAAGTAAATCACTTGATATAAAAAGGAACCGTAAAAAAAAAAAAAAAAAAAAAAAGACCCTTGAAAAAGGTGTTGGTCTCCGTCCATTTTTTTCTAACAATTAAACTTGAGAAAAAAAGAAAATCCGGTCTGGTTTCACATTTAATTGGTTGACAATATGAAAGTATCACTTTGTTTCTACTTTGTGTAAAAAATTAGACTCTCTTAATCAAATGTGGACTTCTGAAATACGTCACAAACTTCTGCAAAGCTCATTCTATCAAATCATCTTGTCCATTACATAAAATAAACAGGGCCGCCATAGGAAACTTGTCTAATGTATAAAACAGTTATGTTCTAGCAACTTGTTTGGATATATGTTTTTCAGTCATTTTTGGAATGACCACGCATGTTCCAGTGTGAGGTCTGTAAGCTCCACACTATAGAAAAGTATAAAGTACTACAATGAAATACAATTGATAAACATGTTGTGTGTGTGTGTATTTGTATTAATATTCATTCATTCATTAATTTTCAACCTCTTTATTAGTCCATTTCTGGGTCAGGGGGGTGGCAATGAGAGCTGCCACCCAATGCTCACAGCACCAGTCCCTCACTGATCCTCTGCAGGTGGTGGGTCCACAGGAAGATGGCTGCTACATCAGTGGTGCCACAGCCTTGGTGTTTCAGTGGGAGCTTCAGGCAATGTGGGGTTAAGTGTCTTGCCCAAGGACACAACAACAGCAGACATTAGTGGGAGCAGTTGGAGTATAGGTCCCGCGATGGGTTTGAACCCACGACCTTCAGGCCAATGCTCTACCAACTGAGCCACTGTCGCCCAGTATTTGCATTAATATTATACTGTAATTGTAAAGTCCATAGTGTTAATGTGTTAATGTTCAGAAATAGGGTTTTTGACTGGATTTAAGAAGGATTTTAGGCAAAATGAACGCCAAATTCGACCTTTTCAACCCTTTCTGTGAAGCAGTTCTTTTTGGTTCATAACTAAGTTATATCAGTGTGGTCATGATGCACTTAGTAAAGCATTATACTACGTCAGCATTAATGATTTTTGTAAGAGTTGTATTCAATCTGAACATCAAACACAAATAATAGATCAATTTCATGCACACACATTTGAAAATATAAACATATTCATTCATAAAACAACTATACAAAATACATTGACAGATTTTGGCTCACAGTTTGTACAAAGATAGATTTCCAGCCCTCTGCCTTGAGACTTTTTGAGAACTTTTCTAGATCTTATAAGGACTTGGACCTAACTGAGGACTTTCTCAGAGACCCGTAAAGAAACCGGCAAAGTTCAATGATCACATGTCTTGCCTTGGCAAAAAGATGACCTCCCAAGGCAGGTTAAATGACGGGTCATTTCAACCCACCAGCCCGTGTCCCTCCGTGTGTCAAACAGAGGTGATGTGATGTTTTGATCTGACAATCTATGTTTTTGCCTAGTATGAATGAGGCTTCACTGGGACCCAGGTCTTCACACTTTCATATCCAGTTTGTGATCCTTCTGATCTGTGATGTGGTCTCCCAGTGTGGCTGACCCCGCTGACCAGAGCTTGGGCCTGCTGCTGGGGCCTTCATTTCCTCAGAAACATCACTCCGGGGCCAGAGGCGATGTACTGCTTCCGGACATTCTTTATGAAGTGATTTAAAAGATGTGTGTTATGATTTTTTTTATTCAACCGTTGTTCCCCGTCCAGGCTGAGTGAGACTGGTCTTCTCTTTTTCACTATTCTGTCTGAAAAACTGATCTAAAGACAAAGGCCAAACATTTTTGAGAGATACATGGATGTTGTCACCGAATTCCCTTTTTTGTTCGACAGCTAGGTACCCCAGCCCTAAAATGTTATTTCACAACTTCTAAAACAAGAAAAGAGCAAGTAAATATTCTTAAGATTTTGGGAATGCACCAATAACTGCAACAGAAACACAATGAGCCCAAATTACCTCTCAACTAGGCCTCCTTTAGTCTCCACTGGTCCTGGTTCTGGTCCCGGTGCTGGTCCCGGTGCTGGTGCTGGCGCTGCAAAGCGTTGGTACATATCGTCCGTCCAAATATAGACGAATACATTATAGAGCAGAGCTTGACAGGTTTTCATTCCAACCAAGCAGAAGTAAGACAACTTTATGACAGAGGAGACACAGACAGAGGACACACAGACAGACGAGGACAGAGGACACACAGACAGACAAGGACAGACGAGACACAGACAGAGGACACACAGACAGACGAGACACAGACAGAGGACACACAGACAGACGAGACACAGACAGAGGAGACACAGACAGACGAGACACAGACAGACGAGACACAGACAGAGGAGACACAGACAGACGAGACACAGACAGACGAGACACAGACAGAGGACACACAGACAGACGAGACACAGACAGAGGAGACACAGACAGACGAGACACAGACAGACAAGACAACATTCACTCCCACTCTCATTCATCATCCCAGTGCTCTGGTCCTCCTCCAATAGGGCACTGTCCGGTTTCCGAAATGTGCTAAAAATAGTTCCAATGACTGCGCATGTTTCGGACAAACTCTGTCCGACTCCGTTGAGTACTACTGTGTTCTCCACATAAGCGTGTGTATTTATTTGGGCTAAATCATTGAATCATGGTGACAACAAAACACTGCAGTTATGGTGCTTGTGGGAGCGATTTCAGATACTCTGAAAAGGACTATATGAAAGCAGTAACATTCAACCTGTTCAACCACACCATCGAACCAGACCAGGACCAGACCAGGACCAGACCAGGACAAGTGCAAGAGGTGGGTGCTTGTGGTCAGCAGAATTTCTCTCATGAAAATGTTAAAAAAGGACATGTTTTTTCAAAACACTTCGCTGGACCAACTGTGGAGCCTCCAGATCCAGTCCTAGCTACGTTTAGCTGGGACTGGACCCGCTGTATCAGGTCTGTCTGAGCTCTTCTGAATGTAGTTAGCCCCATCAATCCATATTAGTATTGTTTGTCCTAATCCAGAATGTATACAATTCTCACACCTGAAGAAAGATGAGAGGGATTTTTTCAACTTCGTGACTATCGGAAAATAAGCACAGACGAAGCGCGTTGGGGTCCGCTTATTATACGGCTTTGTACCAACTGAACACACAAAATAAACTTCTGTCACTATTCATGCCAAAAGGTTTATTTAATGAGTGCAAAGAAAATAGTTCCCAAAGGTTTTAGTTCACCTACTTTAAAAAAGCGATCGCTTTAGTCGCATTAAAAAAGTATTTTTGTCATGAAAACCTTAACAGATAATTCTGAAAACCTCTGTGCACGTGTGTTGTATGAATATTATATTCTAGCATTAACATTTAAATATGTTGATTGATTGTCGTTTGCGTTTACTGAGTGTGGCTAGCTCCGATAGTTTCTCTCTCAGAGACAGTAGTGGTGTAGCCCGTTGTGACCCCATGGATCTATTATAATATCGGCTGACTGTAGTTAACTAAATGATCAAACTAATTACGAAATGGACAGTACAAAAAACAACTTGATAAATGGAAGTTAATCAGAGCAAAATAAACAAAGAAGGCGCTAACATTGCAATTTAAATGACTAGATAATGTTAGCATAATCCTCACCATTACCTTTTTATCAAATCAAACTTTCTACCAGTTACTGGAAGACCACGACATTCAAGCCAACGTTTTAATTGGTCTACACTATGATCCCTGATGGTTTGATGGTGGAATTTTGCCCCTGGTTTATCATTTTCGTCTAAAGTGACAAGAGGTATTTGATTCATTTTGGCAGTGTTTGTCCGAAACATGTGGGCGGGAGTTGACAGGCGGCGGGGGGCGTGTCTTAGTGACGTCATTCAGATAGTTCGCTATGGGTGTGATTTAAAACAATGTTTGAAATGACTTTTACTTGGACAGTTTTGGGTTGATTAAAGGGCTTCATAAATTCTTCCCAATACATTGTTCAATTGTATTTGGTTATTTTATTCAATAATAATAATATTTCAATAAGGACTTCCATTTATCTAGACCTGGAACTTCTCTACTTTACCAGCGCTGCAGAATGATATTTTTTATTAACCAGTGAAGAAACAATGATTTGGCTTCCCATTTTGGTATCTTTTATCCATGTTTTGAATTAAGCAGACTTCAGGTGTAATTACAAGTTTCTGCTTACATATATTTGAACAATAACAATACAATCTATATTAAACTAATTAACCTGTGTCTGATAGAGCTCCGTATTGGGAAGAAATAATATTTTCCTTTTAATTCCAGGAGTTTTGCGATCATAAACAAAGGATGAGATTATTTAATTTATTTTCTCCACTTTTAGGTGGAGCCAAAGGTATACACTGAAAAATATATAAAAAACTTTGGAAGCCGTATCATTGTATTTCTTCTACCAATTAATTTTATCCTTAGGCCAGAGAATTTATTGAGACTTCGTTTAAACTAATTTTTAGTGTTTGAAAGTTATTCTTAAACAATGTATTTTATACTCTTATAATTATATATATATATATATATATATATATATATATATATATATATATATATATATATATTGCAGCCTAAATATTTAATTGTAGTTTATACCCTAAATTGTTTTAATTGTTTCATATGTTCTTGATTCTGATTGATAAAATGTCAGTTTTTTGTTCATCTTATATTTTAGAAATGTTATGTATCATTGTACTCAAGTATAACAACAAATCGTCAGCAAATAAGCCAAACTTATTTTTTACCTGTATTGATTGTTTTTGTCTGTGTAATCTTTTCTGCTAAGGCAAACCATGGCAAACAGGGCTGGAGATAAAGGGCCCTCGCAAATGACCACGACAACTCAGTGACAGATTAAAACCGCTGCAAGAAAAGCAAGCAAAAGACTTAGTAATTAAAATAAATTAGTTTTAAGACGTCTTTTGAAGGCGTCAACAGATGCAGGCAACAACCGCAGAGAGAGTGGAAGATTGTTCCAGAACTTGGGAGCAGTAGCCTGGAAGGATTGGAGGTGTGTGTCTGGAGGGGGCCTGACCAAACACAGCTCTGAATGTCAGAACCAGTGTTTTGAAGTGAATTCCGTGAGAATTGGGCACATGTGAGCCTTGCACTAACTATGCAGAGTTTTGCACTAACTGCAGCGGGACAGCTCCTTCTTGTTTAAAGATGTGTCTAATTGAGCAAAATCTTAAATCTCATCATGTTCACCTGTCATGCCCACGTTAACAACTCACTCTTTCTTCCACTTCCTTTTCACATCACTGAACGCCTCTCAATCTTTTTGTAAAATAAAAAACGTCACTTTTTTTTTTTTAACCCCCTCCTTCCCTTAAATAAGAAAACCCTCTTCCTGTGATCGAGCTACGCGGCTGTACACGTCCCTCCGGATCCGGCGTCTGGCGCTAAACGCACGCGCCGCACAGACAAGGGTCCCCGCGGTTGTACCATTTGAGATCAGTCGACGGCGCATGCATAATGACAAAACAACAGAAGAGGCTTGTAAAAAAAAAAAAAAAAATCAGGGAACACACTCCCCACATCAGACCAGGTAGTCTTATGGGCTGTTTTTGGGGAAGGCACATTGATTTCTCTCGTTGTTGCGCACAAAGGAAAACTCAGAGCTTCAAAAAACCAGCCGCGACTATAAGACCCGCGGAGGATTCGTTTTTTTTTCTTCCAGCAGACAGAAAGAAGAGAGGAGGAGTGAGAGATGGCTTTGCGGCTGGATTCTCATTAAAAAATACCTCCCGATATCGTCAGCGCGCCCAAAGTGATTGGAACTGTCAAATAAAGCACACAGCCGCGCAAAGTCGTGAGCAAAACAAAAAATGACAAAACACTTTTAATGAAGATGATTGACATGTTGTTTACAGAGAAAACCCAGACTATAAGATGTTTGAGTGTTTTTTTTGTTGAAGATTCGTATTTTGCCAGTTGTTAAGAAGGATTCCTTGGGTGTAAAGTGACCCAGGAGATGTTTACCTCCAGAGCGCCGCTGCTTTTTTGTGAGATAGAAATATGAAATCCTCGACCCTTGATTGGCGATCAGCAGGTGTACTTTAGAAGCACCGGGAATCATACCGATGCTGTGTTCTGTCTGCAGGATTAAAGTAGACGTATTCTTTTTCCTCTCTTTTAACCATCTTACAAACTTGTTCCTCATCAGTTACAGACCTGAAGTTGTTTTTAGTTCCATCCATACTAATATCAAGAACTTCTGGCACATTGAGCAACATTGCCCCCCTTCGGTCAAAATCTACTGTCCCAGTCCTGTAATAGTATAGTAATAGTATAGTGCGCTGACATGCTTGCAATACCACCCCGGGCCGATGGGGGTGGACCCAGAAGAAGAATTAGCCAATGCTAACATATAGCGTTGGCAGACCTCTCGAAAACGTCTTTACAGGATGGACCAAAAGTTGGCTCTTGGCCCAAAGCTCCGTTCCACATGTGTGTCCATGCTGAGGGGAGTGAATTTTTTGTGGACCAGTCTAGTTTACTCACTGTGAATTTTGGAAGTCACTCGTTTATAATGAATGGACCTCGTGCCGGCTGACGCATGCACAGATGTGTTTTTTTCACATTTTCAAGCCCTCGCGGCCATTTTGAATCATTCCGTGAAAGCCCAATTTTTGGCCCATTAGTTAGAATGGCGGAGATAGGCACGACTATGTCCGTTAATATATACAGTCTATGGCTTTAAACTAAATATTGTCCATACATTACTTTTGGTAATTTCTCAGGTGAAAAAAACAAGTCCTTCCAACTTTGGTCAGGCTTAAAGACTACTACAGTGGCCACTCTACGGGAAGAAAGGTCCCATATCTGGACAGGTGTAACATTGTTAACTTTTCTGCTTGAAAAAATGTTTCTCCTAATATAATAGTAATGGCTAAAAATACACTTGAAAACTATCGATTTCAGCTTATAACCATCATTGTCAACCAACCATCATAATCAACAAGACAAGATTAGGAAATCCTTTGTTTGTACAGTGGGGGAAATTTCCGTGTTGCATCGCAAGTTACAGACCGAAGGAATAAGGAGCACACAGCACAAGATAAATGAATAATAAATCTATACACAACTCTTTGGCATTCCATAATTTTGAACTTGAAATAACATCTGTGTGTTTCAGCTGCAATTTCTGACGACGCCTCCAGCTTCATTAGCAACAACAATGAAACAACTTTTGGAATGAACACCTCCATTTTAGGTGCACTTCTGCAGGTAACCATCAAGAGTGCCCTGTGTGGTCGGGAAGCTGGTCCGCTGCTGGAGACCGCTGAAAAGTCTCCAGAAATGGCAAAAACACTAAAAGACCGTTTCTATTCCCAAGCTGTCAGACTGATTAAGGCAAAGCAAGTTTTTATGAAGCTGAAGCGGATATTCGGACTGCAAGACCGAGTGCAAATTCCCCCTTCCAAGCCTGCCAATCACACAGCTCTGCCAGCCCCGAGCCTCAGCCAATCACACAGCCCGGCCAGCCTCCTGCCAACCCTCTCACAGCAAAGTCGGCAGTTTAAAAGGCAGCCACTTCCTGACAAGCAACGCTTAAACACCCACCATCTCCCCAGCACCCCCTCTGGCTCCTGCTCTGGCTCCTGCTCTGACTACGCCCCATTCACACCATACTCTAGCCACCACCAGTGATTGACCCCGGGGGATCTGAGGTCCTCTTCAGCTGCAATCGATCTCATCACTGCAAGTGTCACTGCCGGGGTCAATGCGTCAAACAAATAAATAATTTTATTGTATTAATTGTGTCTTTGGTCTCTTCAGATTGAATTGTATAGCACAGTTCACACACAATGCAACAGTGCTAAACATAACAAGAAAAAAATAAACAAGACATAAATAACCAAAGTAAATGTCTGTCTCACACTTTCAAATGTCACTAACATTAATTGAATCTCTAGCACTTTATGAGGGGCAACAATGCAACTCTGTGTGTGTCTTTATCTTTTAAATCTATTTAGAAATGTGTTTTAAGTGAATTGAAACTACAACACTCAACATAAACTTTTATAAATGTCAATCTAAACGTGCCCCCACCCCCCAGTCTGCACTTGACTTGAAGGAGTTCAGGGTGAGACTCTGATGGGGGTGAAAGATGTCGCCCCACATTCTGTACTCCCTCCTCCCCCTCCTTCCCTTCTGCTCCCTCTGCTCCCTCTCCTCACGCTGCTACTGTACTGCGTCTGCTATGGAAATCACTCCTCTGAAGACTTAAGAGCTGCACACATCTCTGCAAAAACACGCACACACACATGCGCACACACTCCCACACACACACGCTCCAAATCGCTAACAAATACTGTATGTTAAGACATTAGATAAGATGTCAAAGTGTCTTTTTAACTTTGTAACAATATTGTTACCTCATCAAAACAGACCAGTGCTTGTTTATGTTGTCATTAAAGCGATTTACATACTTTGGAACAAAATAACCAAGAGAAAATAACAATTATAGAAGCAGATGAAATACATGTTACACACACGGCATACATACATATACAGTGTCTTGCGAAAATATTCGGCCCCCTTGAACCCTTCAACATTTTACCACATTTCAATCTTCAAACATAAAGATATAAAATTTTAATTTTTTGTCATGAATCAACAACAAGTGGGACACAATCGTGAAGTAGAACGAAATTTATTGGATAATTTAAACTTTTAAAAAAAATTAAAACTGAAAAGTGGGGCGTGCAATATTATTCGGCCCCTTTACTTTCAGTGCAGCAAACTCAGTCCAGAAGTTCAGTGAGGATCTTTGAATGATCCAATGTTGTCCTAAATGACTGATGATGATAAATAGAATGCACCTGTGTGTAATCAAGTCTCCGTATAAATGCACCTGCTCTTTGATAGTCTCAGGGTTCTGTTTAAAGCGCAGAGAGAACCATGAAGACAAAGGAACACACCAGGCAGGTCCGAGATACTGTTGTGGAGAAGTTTAAAGCCGGATTTGGATACAAAAAGATTTCCCAAGCTTTAAACATCTCAAGGAGCACTGTGCAAGCAATTATATTGAAATGGAAGGAGTATCAGACCACTTCAAATCTACCAAGACCCGGCCGTCCCTCCAAACTTTCATCTCAAACAAGGAGAAGACTGATCAGAGATGCCACCAAGAGGCCCATGATCACTCTGGATGAACTGCAGATGCATTTATACGGAGACTTGATTACACACAGGTGCATTCTATTTATCATCATCAGTCATTTAGGACAACATTGGATCATTCAAAGATCCTCACTGAACTTCTGGAGTGAGTTTGCTGCACTGAAAGTAAAGGGGCCGAATAATATTGCACGCCCCACTTTTAAGTTTTTTATTTGTTAAAAAAGTTTAAATTATCCAATAAATTTCATTCCACTTCACGATTGTGTCCCACTTGTTGTTGATTCATGACAAAAAATTTAAATTGTATATCTTTATGTTTGAAGCCTGAAATGTGGCGAAATGTTGAAAGGTTCAAGGGGGTTAGGGGGGCACTGTATGTATTTGTCTGCAGTGACTGAAATAGTGACATATAGTAAAACACAGAGGAATGGACTACACACAACATAGAGACACACAACACAGAGGAATGGACCACATTTGGTCCCAGATTTGTTTTTTCCCCCCTATTTATGCACCCGGTGAGGACTAAGCATTAACATACTCATAAATAAATAAATAACTACGACATGTTTTTTCTTTAGCACAGTCCCAACATCTGTGGAAAGACCTGAACCGCTGTCCATAAACGCTCTCCATCTCACTGGGCAGAGCTCCAGTTGTTTTGTAAAAAGGAATGAGCTAAACCGTCTGTCTCTAGATGTACAAATCCTGTCATACCTCAAAAGACTTGCTGTTGTTCTTGCAGAAAAAGGGGGTTCCACAAAATACTCATGTAGAATGAATACTTACAGGTTTTCTCTTTGTTGAAATCAGAATCATGAATCCTTTTGCTTTCACTTCACAGTTGTGTTTTCTGTGTGTGAACTTTCACTCAAACAGTCGAAGTAAGATCTTTCTGTTCATGGTTGTAAACGTGACAAAATGTGCGAGTTCAAGGTGAATTAGTCCTTTCGAGAGGCACTGTGAACAGAATGTATTTGTGTATGACTTCACAAAGCCACGTGTGAATGACTTTATGACGCTGACGATTCTTCAAACAACATTTCAGTTCAAACACACACAGTATAATAACAACAAACACACAGGAGCCATTGGTCCATAGGGAGCGGGAGGACCACTGTCCAGAAATGATTGATGTCCTGGATCGTCGCTGTCTCCAGATCTCAGAGAATCTTTGGAGGGGGTTGAAAGGCAAAACATCACTGCTCTAGAAGAGATCTGCAGAAGGAACGGGCCAAAATACCAGCAACAGTGTGTGGAGACTTTATAGTCTTACAGAAAATATTTGACCTCTGTGATGACTTTCAAACAGAATTCTATCAAGATTTTTGTCTTTGTGTGAAAGATTAGGGAACCAGCTGATAAAGGAGCAGTACATATGGCTCTCAATGAAGGATCCAAAATATACTTACTATAAAACATTGCTATGAGCTATAAAAAAAAAGATTAAGATCGTCCCACAGTGGGGAAGTTTCAGTGTTGCGTCCCAAGTTGCAGAATAGTATAAATGAGGAGCACACAGCACAAGAATAATAACTATTCAATCTCTAACTAGCATAATTTAAGCATGATGAAGAAGAAAGAATTAACCCCTGACCGCAGTATAACAAGGAGCAACTACAAAATTCTGTCATGGGTTCAAGCCCACCACAAGACCTACTTCATGGCTCCCACCGATGACTGCTGTTGTTGTGTCCTTGTGCAAGACACCTAACCCCACTTTGCCTGAAGCCCCCGCTGGAAGATCAAGACTCCTGTGGACTCACCACCGGCAGGAGGATCAGTGAGGGGCTGGTGTTATGTTTACTGGGTACAGCTCTGACTGCCACCCCCCTGACCCAGAAATGGATTAAGGTGAAGAAAATGGAGGGATGGATGTTACATTCCCAGAACACCTCATGATTCCCAGGCTGGAGGAAGTGTGCATGGGGAGATAAAGAAATAGGAATAGATGCATCAGAACCCATGTATGGCAATGGTAGAGTAATGTAATATGGTATCGTTACAACCCTAGTCTCCACCTGCTCTCTCTTTTCTACCATGTAACTTGCACAACATCAAGTTCCTTCTTGTTTGAATCTCTTCAGGCTTGGACCCAGCGCGTGTCAAGGCTCTTGACGCCTCAGACCTGTCGCACCTTCAGGAGTTGATCATCTTCCGTCGTGTTGACGAGACGGACACATCTCTGGCCAAGATGCCACTCGGCAAATGCTCCAGGTATACCATGAACCCAGCGCGATTACAGTCTCCATGTAATGCACCCTGCTCGGGGAGATGTTTTAGACGTGCTTAGGTGAATGGTGTTGACAGTGATCCCCTGGTGACAACACGGGCGCTCACAGGGGGAGGGTCTGCAGATCAAAGCACCGGGGATGGGGCCAGCGACAGGAGGTGGAGAGGCTTCAACATGCTCATTGCAGATAAAAACACGGCACGCAACGACAAAATATCATACATTTGTAAACACATCTGAGACAGGTGATGCAAAATCATCTTTTTGCTTTTAACCATATTACAACATTACACACACCCCTGTCCAGGCCAGGCCTTCGCAGCTGCCCAGGTTTTAGAAAAGATGAGGATTATAAAGAGCAACGCAGCTGGACCAGACTGCATCAGCTTCAGACTCCTGTGTAGATAAACTGTGTGGATGCAGATGTGCTTCAACCTGAGCCTAAAGATCAGGCCAGTACTACCGCACTGGAAGATCTCCTGTGTGGTACGGGTGCCCAAGACACAACATGTAGAGGGGAAGATGTTTGCCTGTTGATCCCCTTGTGGCTGCCGAGCTTTATGGGTTTTCCAGGCCACAGGCCAAACCACAGGCCATATATTGTAATAGTCAGACTTTATTTATTGTCTCACATGACCACTAATCCACATTAACATAACACAGTTCCCTTGTGATGGACATGGTAAGAAACAGTTTACCTCCAAACCAGCAGCACTTGTGCTTATTCTGTCCCTGTTACAGGAAAACGGGCACAGATCACATGAGGCCCAGCACCACCATGTGGCCAGGATAAAGTCAATTTTGGCTCCTACATCTTGAGCCAAAGACCTCAGCAGCAACCTTCAGGCTCAAAGGCTAATGCTCCACCAACTGAGCCACTGTCGCCCCATTCATTCACTTATAGTAATAAGAAATAATGTGCAATACTGTAACAATAAAAGAAGGTGCAATGACAAATAAAGTTAAAGTTCACTTATTTATACGAGCAT